AACGATACAAATGTTTCAATGCAACTGATGAAGTCGAACATTTGCAAATATGAATCTGTAATTTGATACCAAACAAAAGTCCCATTAAGTTAACGAAGGTAGAGAAAATCCTCAATCAAATTAGAAGCATCGCAACGTAAAATCTCAGCTAATATATCATTTAGGAGATAAGATAATGAATATTTAGCTTCCATTGAAAACGATGAAAAAGTCTATGAAAATGATAGATAACATAATCAGAAAGATACACATAAGGTAAAGTACCGAGTACCACTTGCTTCATCTCTTATATATATAATGTCTGACGCTTGATAAGATAAAATTTGAAGAAAAAGAAAAGTGTGTTTCAATGGAAACACTTTCCCCATTTTCATAGAATCTCTGTCATGTCATAGTGTTTTCTATTATGCAGAAAATATTTGTCATGTCATAGTGTTCTATCCCATCTTAAATGAAAGACATGTTTCAGGGGAAGCGTTTTCCATTATTAATCAGAGAATATCTACCATGTCATAGTGTTCCATCCCATCTTAAATGAGAGGCATGTTCTAGGGGAAGCATTTTTTTTATTATTTAGAGAATCTCTGTAATGTTATAGTGTTCTATCCCATCCGAAATGAAAGGCGCGTTCTAGAGGAATTATTTTCCATTATTATTCGGAGAATCTCTGCCATGTCATAATGTTCCATCCCATCCGAAATGAAAGGCGCATTCCAAGGGAAACATTTTCCATTATTATTCAGAGAATCTCTGCCATGTCATAGTGTTCCATCCCATCCAAAATGAAAGGCGCATTTCAGGGAAAGCGTTTTCCATTATTATTCAGAATCTTTGTCATGTCATAGTGTTCCATCCCATCCGAAATAAAATGTGCATAGTCTATTGTTATTCAGAGAATCTCTATCATTTCACATAATTGACATGAATTGTTCTCCGACCCTCAATCTCTTAAACTCTTTAATCCTAAAACTTTGTATCTTTGAAATCTCAAACTCTCAAACGTGTAAACTTTCAAACTTTGAAACTCTCAAACTAAGAAAATAACTCACATTTTAGTTGTTGTTTACTATGATGGAGAAATTAGGGAAGATGAATACGAGATTGTTTTCCAATCAGATCATTATATCATTCTATCCTTAAGGAGAAACATCATTCTTCACGATTTAATCATAAAAATCTCAAGGAAGGTTTGTGTTGGAAACAGTAGAAGACTGGCTACACTGCAATACATATTTCCAACTGAAAATTTTCCGTTAACATATACATCGTTCAATCTCTCAAACGTCGATGATGTTAATATGATGGTTGATGCTTCCAGTCAAAATTCAAACTCTATTACAAAAATGTATTCCACTTTTGTTGATGTGCATCCAGTTCGAGGTATGTCCTTATCCTCCTATTATGACTTACATGAACTAATTGATCAAGTTGACAGCCCAACTCTAACAGTTTGTAATGATTTCACGCCATTAATGGCTAACCCACCTCCTGTTAGCATATATCAAGTTCCAAAGGAAGGCATTCATTTTCCACACAACACTCAATTCATAACCCATATGGTGACATCCCTTCAAGCTTCAGATGAAGGCATTCATCTGTGAACTTGTTCGAACTAAACATCAGAGTCATAGAATAACCCTCATCTCCTTCAGAAGAACCTCTTCATGAGCCAGGAGTAGATGGTGCTGAAATTGGATTTTTTCTTGAACCCGAGTTACCATAATTCAACATGGAATCTGATGATGATGCAAATGAAGTTTCTACAAATATGGTACAATACAAACCTCTAGCATACATGTATGAAGCTGACTATGATGCGATGTACATACCAGAATTTCTTGATATGCGTTATCTTGGAGACTATGTGAGGCATTCATCAGTTAATGATGGTGATTTATATTGTGAAATGGAGTTCACATCTAAAGAAGAAGCAATGATGGCAATTAAGAATTACAATATTCATAATTCAGTTCAGTCTAGAATCAATCGATCTACCACCGAAAAATATGTATGTTATTGTGTCCAACATGATAACAGCTGCAATTAATGGTTTATGTTTCAAAGAGGAAGAAGGTCGACAGATGGAAACTAACAAAATACAGTGGTCCCCATACATGTTATGCACATGGGATTAACCAGGACCATCCAAACTTGGACTCCAACGTGATTTTCCAAGCCATCATGCCCTTGGTCAGAGCAAACTCCCACATACCTATTGCAGTTCTGATTTATGCAATACAATCTCAATATGGGTACACTGTCTCCTAAAAAAATCATGGAAGGCAAAACATAATGCCATTATAAAACTACACGGTGAATATGATTCATCTTACAACGAACTATCCAGTTAGTTTAACCTGGTTCAACGACTGAATCCTGTGATAATAATTGAGTTTGAAACTTGCCATGCCTACCATAATGATCGATTTCTTCGAGATCGATGTCAATTCCACCGTGTTTTTTGGACTTACCCACAATGCATTAATGTAGTGAAATATTGTAAACCCGATGTCCAAATTGATGGTACATTCTTGTATGAAAAACACAAGCAAGTTTTATTATTGGCAGTTGTCCAATATGACAATCGTAACATTCTTCTCGTTGCCTTTTCCCTTGTTGAAGGAGAAGATACAGATTATTGGGTTTTTTTCTTGAGAAATCTATGGTTACATGTTATCACGAGAGAACATATTTGTATCATTTCAGACCGAGGAGCTAGGATCAAAGCAACAATGGACTTTTTGGGTCCAATGTGTAAACTCCCACATGTCCAACATCGTCTCTGTATCTGATATATTGCTGCAAACTATCATGGCAGATATAAGAAGAATGATGAACGACAATTAATTATACACACGTGTATGTTACATTTTTCTTAATTTCATTTCTCACTTATTTTCATTTTTTTATACTAACTACTTCATTTTTCTTAGGTTACGAACTCTCACCTAAAATGTTTGAGGTTATGCTTCAAGAATTGCGAGGAAAAAATGAACATGGATACAATTACATCAGTTAAATCAACAAAGAAAAGTGAACAAACGCATACGATGGTGGATATCGATATGGACATATGACAACCAACTTGGCTGAGGCAATCAATTCAACCTTAAAGGGGGTCTGTCATTTACCAGTAATTGCTTTGGATAAAACTATGTATTTTCGTTTGGGTCAACTTTTTGCCAAGCTCGAGGGACAAGCTCTTACTTGGATACAAAATGGTCATGTTTATCACCCACGATTAATAGCAAATATGCAGCAAAAGGTTGCAGCATCAAACATCATGTCTGTAATAAGCTTTTCTCGCGCCCAAGAATTATTTTGGGTCACAGAAATACCACGATCTTTGCAAGGAATTGAATCTAACTATTTTAGAGTTAATCTACGAGATAGATGTTGTAATTGTGGGTTTTTTCAATCTTTGAAGTATCCATGCTCTCATGTCATAGCAGCTTGCTCATTTTCTCATCAAGACTATAAGCGTTATGTTGATCTCGTATACCAACTTTCACAAGTATTCAAAGTATATGAATATGAGTTTCCCCCATAGGTAATGACAAAAATCCAAATGAGGTTCAGACTTGGCTTCCAATTATACCATATCCATACTTATTAAAGGAACCAAGTCGTCCCAAATCCACTAGAATTCATTGCGATATGGATATTCGAGAGACGTCAAGACAAAACTTAAGATGGGTCATTACAGAAATACCAGTCGCAATAGGAGAAATTGTCCATCTCTTTGATCATCACCTAATCGTTGACCACCACTAATGTAATCATATTTTCTAGTATTTCAACTTATGCTATTTCATTTTCTTTTAGTTTCAATTAATGTGATTTCAACTTGTTTATTTTACAAGACAACCTTTTTATCTATCTATATAATTTTCCAATTAAATGTTTAATGTTTATATCTTACGATCTAACGTACAATCAACTTTAACTCTACCCTACTTTTAAAACACAAACATTCTAACATACAATCAATTTTAACCCTAAACTTCTTTAAAACCCTAAACTACAAAAATATAACACCTTAAACCACTAAAAACCCTAAAATCAATTACAACCCCAAAATCGTTGGGCAAGGGAGGCGTGTTCCGTACGACGAGCCTTCAAGGGAGGCGCGTTCCATATGATGCAACATTCATAAAGCTCATGGAAGGCGTGCGTTTCTTGCAACGAGCCTTCCCTCCCCCGACTAAGGCGTGTCCCTTGCCGTGAGCCTCCTTCTCTCCTGAAAAAAGGTGTTAGATCGGGAAATAGTTAGGAAGGGGTGTTTGATAGGTAGACTTTTTTTAATATGGTGATTTTTTTGGTCAAATTGCCTGTTAATGAAAGAACCATTTTCCTTTGTATCTTTTATCCTCTTTATTTACGATACCACATAACTATTTATAAGACGATGATAAAAGACATGTGGCTTAAGATTATTTCTTAGTCTAATTGCTCAAATCTGTGTTTAATCCAATCTATATTTTAATGGTTGTTATTAAATTAGGTAGTGTAAGAAATTTTCAAGATGAGACTTTTCGAGATAAGTCAATATTTTAAGATTTTCTAACATAATATGAAGGTGGATAATGATGGTTCTTAGTTTTTGTTACTGCGAAAGGCGATTAAGACGAAACGAGATTGTTCGAGTGCTATTTCCCATTTTCGACTAAAACTAAATTTATCATCGCAGCATAGTGAATATCTTACTTTTATTAATATTTAAATTTATCATAGTAACATAGTGAACACCTTATTTTTATTAATATTTATTTTATTTTATGATTATGTTTGGCCGAAAGATTTAGAGGAGTTTCCTTTACATTAAAAATTTAAAATTTTAAAAAATAAATTTACTTATTGGAGTAAAAATAATTTTAAAACTAATTACCTCTTCTTGTAGGCATTTGATAGCTGGGGACAAACTAAAGCGAAGGTCATACAATAGTAGACCACAATTAATGATGCGGGAAATACAATTATATACAGCAAAATAAGTAGTCTGAAAAAAGGCTCGCTCAACGGCATACCATTGAAGATGTTTTGCTTGTATATGAATACAATCTAAAACCAACAATTGCCGGGTTATTGGAAAAATTATAAGAATGCTAAGTTGTTGAATTAATGAGGAAGAAAAACTAAGAAAAGACTATTGTCAGATTTGAGTCTAAAACCTATTCCTGCATGTGGTCCGTATCCAGTTTTTTAACACTGGAGACAAGGCAATCGTTAGGCTGCAAACGCTAAAGTTTGAAGGATAAAACATATTTCCTATCCCATTTCTCACTGAAAAATACTACTCACGGAACAATCATCGTGAACACGCCATATCGTTTCACCCAACAGATTAGCCACGGATAGAACTGTCAGCTGAGGGAAGTAGTTCTTCTCTGCCACTGGAAGTGTATTCGTAATGACCACTTCCTGGAAAATGCCACTTGATAGCCTCTCGATTGCAGGGGGGCTTCCATTAAAAACAATACATATGTCAGCAATATGATATCAATGAAAAGGTCGGTACATATCACACTATAATCTAGTTCAGACATTTAATTTCAGACCTGAAAACTGCATGAGTACAGCATGCATAAACTTCCCTCGCCCCCTCTTGGTGTAGCAGCTCTGCCCCCTTTGCAATCGTTCCTAGCACACAGAAAGTTTGATCATTAAACATAAACTGAATTTATAACACAGCCAATGGTCAAAGAGAACCATTTTCAAGGCAGCAAACTAACTCATGATGGAAGTTATCATTTCCAAAGATGGCGAGAACAGAACTTTGCAGGAAAAAGATGTATTACACATGTTTTTTGCCACCTTTTAACCATTGCATACATCATGATAAATAAAATTAATTTGTGTATTTGTGGCTGCGAAGGGATTTATTTTGCCCTCTTCACATTGCTTTCACTCACCAGCTGTGTCAATCATATCATCCACCATAACTGCAACTTTCCCCTTTACATCACCAATAAGGTTCATTACCTGAAAAATATAAGTTAGTCAGGGTCTCTTAAGGCAATAATAATGTAATAGACATACCTAAAGCAGGAAATATAACAAACGATTAGCAGACATCAGCCTACGGCAAGTCCACAATTTCTTGATAACAACTATTAATTGCAGCATTCATTGAAACACTTTTCTAATCGATTATCCCTATTATAACTTCCACATATTGTGAGAGCATTACCTCTGCAACATTGTGTCCGTGACGCCTTTTATCCACAATGGCTAAAGGTGCATCGGACAGTTTTTTTGCAAATGCACGTGCTCTTGCTACTCCTCCAACATCAGGTGAAACCACCACCAAGTCATCAGAACAAATTCTCTTGCTGGCAAGATAATCAAGAATCACAGGCTACAGTCCACAGCACAGTAAAAGGATATACAAATTAGTAATTGCTTAGCCATCGACAGTAAACAACCATTAGTTAGAAGTTTTATTGTTGAATACCTGGCCTTGGACATGATCCACTGGAATATCGAAGTAGCCCATGGACTGCCCAGAATGAAGGTCACAAGAAAGAACACGATTTGCACCAGATTCAGTGATAAGATTTGCAACAAGTTTGGCTGCTATGGATTCTCGCCCTTGTGTCTGAAAACAATATTATAGACAGAGAATACAGTTTGGTATCATAAAAATACAATATGATTCAAAAGCTTCAGACTTAATGGAAATAAAAACTGCAAAGCTAGAACATTAATTCAATCAACATACTTCTAACACAATATAGCACAATTTGTTCTGATTATGATAAAAGAATCACATAATATCATCAAACTAGGGTACATCAGGTGGTTAGAATTTTAATCAAAATTAATTTGCAGCTGGTATCTTAGTTGATACTCCTGTTTTACCCCCTCTAATTTATTTCCAAATAGATACATCTGAACTAACCTTTCTATCAGCTCTGGCATAACCAAAATAAGGAATCACCACAGTAATATTTTTTGCCGATGCTCTCCGGCAAGCATCTACCATTATGAGAAGCTCCATGAGATTCTCATTTGCAGGAGGGCATGTTGGTTGCACTAAATATACATCACAACCTCTAACACTCTCTTGCAGCTGAACATAAATTTCCCCATCAGCAAATCGCTTAATGTTGATCTTCCCCAGCTCCAGGCCCATGTACCATGCAATTTCCTGCAGTAATAGAGCAAGCAAACATAAGCTTCAAGATACAACAAAGTATACTTGCATAAGTTCAGATACAACGAATAATCCTAATGCTTAAAGCCATAAGAGATGGTGGGCAAACCGGCCTAGCATTCTTATCCTCTCGACATGGTAATTGAAAGTAACACCTGAAAAAAATCTCTCTACAGGCAATAAGAATCAAAAGGTAATGAAATAACCTGAGAAAGTGCAGGATTGGCAGTCCCGGAGAACAATTTGATCTTGGCACCCTTTCTGTTAACAGTTGTCTCCATTCGAGCAGATTCCAAGAACTTGGGCAGCGTCCTTTCATTAAGGACTGGAATCATCGGCTTCCCGTTTCCAATATTCACTGGTTGAGCCATGTCACATTTCTAGTATTTCCAACCAAAAAAAAAAGAAAAAAGCAAGCACCCGTATGAGTAAAACATTAACAGTACACAAGAAAAAAAAGGTTTACAGGTTTTTTCTCTTTTCAGTCACCCAAAACGGAAAAAACTTGTCTTTTGCCGATAAAACTTTCTTTTACTGGAAAATAGTAGTGGACGAATCAAAACGAAGCCAAATTTTTCAAGGAAAATAAGAAACGTTGCACTGTCGATTTCATCATACGTACACACGTGCAACGAATTACATAAAAATAATACAAAAAAAATTCCAATTTTAATCAACAGAGAAAAAAAGAATTTATATAATAAGAAAAAAAAAGCCAACATCGGGAAAAAAACCCAAAAGCAAGTACAACTCACTTCAGCATCTTAAAGACACCAGCAATGAAATCAAAGTTTCTATATATAATAATGATGATAAAATTAGCTTACGAAGGTGTTGGAACCGCAGGTACCAGGGCGAGACTCAGTGTAACGAACGCTTTTATGGCCAAGAGAGCAACGGGCGAAGAGTGAAGACGAAGACGACAACGACTTAGAGGACGAAATAGTGGTCAAGGAAGCCATTCTTTTTTTGTTAATAATTTTCTCTGTTCAGGCAAATCGGGTTGGGTTCGCGGCGGCGGAGGAGATGTTGAATGAGTAAAGATGCGGTGGCGTTTGTTTTAAAATAGAGATGACCGAGAAAGTGTTGCTACGGCCCTCTTCTTCTTTTTTCTATTCCTCCCCACTACCCACGTTTGGATTCCAACGCTACAGCCTACACCCCTTTTATCTATCCTATTTGTAACGAAACTGCGCTTAGTAATAATCTTGGGTAAATTACGCATTTCACAATTCAACTTTACTCTAAATTCTATTTTACTCGCTAACGTTTTAAAACATTTAATTTAATTATTTATATTTTAATAAATCCAACATTAAATAATCAATGATATTATTAACATGACCGACTACGTTATTTTAAAAATTCCAAATAGACACTAAACTTACATAATTTTGACGTCAAATAAAACTATTTTTTTATAAACTCTAATGATCAAAATAAAAATTGAAAAAAATTGGATGATAAAATTTATAATTTAACTAATTACTTTTTTTAGTGATATTTAAAATGTGTACTTTTATTTTTTAAGTATTGTTTTATTTTACTAACATGGTTTGAACAATTTTAATCTTTCTGTCACTCCTAATAAAGCGATTTCTTAATTGGTTTATTTTATTTCCATAAATACTAACTTATTTCTATACATGAAGCGACTAAATTGGTAACGCCGAATTACAAGATTAAATTAATTAAATATAAACATCAAATAAAAACTATATCTTCTTCTAATATCATGCACCTCACTAGTCTTCCAAATAAAATATATATTTTTTATTATTAATCTATGATGATTATAGGTGGTATTATTTGTTTTGAATACTCCTAATCTTATATTTGTTGATGCTCGAACATGAAATCTTTAAAGATAACAATCGTCAATTTAATTATTAAAATCGTTTGGTTCGTGCATATATAATTATTTTTAAAATAAGAAATGTAATTTATTAAAATTTAAAAGATGAGTTTCTTAATCACTATATTTTGTTTTGCAGCATCTTTCTTATTGTTTTTATAAAACTGATTTTGCATGTCTTTTTCTAAATATTTTTTTGAATAGATTAACTACATGATTGATCATTCATGTTTTTATTTTGTATACATTTCTTTATTGATTTCAAAAAATATATAATATAAAGTCATTTTCATTTTTATTTAATTAAGATGTAGTTATCACGAGTAAATTTTCATTAAAAATTATGATGTAATCACATATTTGTTTCTTTTTATTCATATATTTTCTCAATTTAATCATATTTTTAATAAATTAAAATAAATTTAATCTTCAAATCGAATGATGCCACGTGTCATTGGTACTATGTGTCATGTCACGTGTTACTATTCGGTTGGAGGACTAACTTTATTTTAATTTAATTTAATATATTTTTATTTTAATATATATTAACTTTATTTTAATAAATTAAATATATTAAAGTAAAGTTAGTCTTCCAACCTGATGGTGACACATGACATCATTCGATTTGAGGAAATTTATTTGAATTTATTAAATCATTGAGAGAATATGTAAATAATAGGGATTAAATGTGTTACTATACCAAAATATCATAGCACCTAATCTGTTAATTGTCAACGGTAATCAACTCATAATTATCGCATCTTAATTAAATAAAAATGAAAGTGATTATATATATTATATTTTTTAAAATAATAAAAAAATAGATAATACATAAACAGGTCAATCAAAGAAGACATTTTTTTTAATTTTTAAATTAAAAATATAAATAATTACAAATTACATATGAGTTAAACAAAGTTAAACTAAAATATAAGTAAATAAAAAGTGGGTCCAGACTTTATTGGGCCTGCGCCACGTACAAAAGTGAACTCCAAATGGACGGTTGTAGCGTCAGTCAGCGTGGACTGAAACATTGAAGACTTTGCTTTCACATTTAACCGTTTTGTTTATTATCATTATTATTTGTTGGAATAAATGCTTTGTGGAGCGGCAAATTCAACTCCAAACTTCCATCTAATCTATTCCTTTACCAGATTCCAAGAATTTTCTTCTTCTTGCTTTTTATTCCATTACGAATAAAATCATGAAAACTCATAAAATCATAGCAAATACATTATTCTATTATATTTAAAAATATAAATTAAATTTATAATCTTTTTAACAACTGATGATAACACACCATATAAATATAATGACTTACTTAAATCCTTAAAAAGAATAACACTCAATTTTACTATCAAAATCTCTTAATAAATTCAAATCAAAATCATTCGATTCTTAGAAAATATCAAAATATAAATTTTTATATTTAGTTTGACCCATGAATTGTTAGACTTCGTGTTCAGGGTTGAATGCATGAATGAGACAAGTGTCGTATATTGTATGGATGGCTTAACAAGCCATCAATGTCTTATTGTTTCAAGAGAGGAAAAGAGTGGAAACAAATGTGGGACAGCTCATTCCATTGTTCACATTTGTGGTCGTGTTTACTAGGTAGGTAGCAAAAACGTGTATTTAAACTTAAATGCTTTCTATACCAGTATTAGCTTATGCATCATAACCTACACACGCACAACACGAGTTTTATAAGACATATCACTCCGCCAACACCTATTTCCTATACGAAACTAGTTATTTGGAGATAGATATTCAGAGTTTAAATTCAACTACTTGTATCACGTTTATTAATTTGGTAAAATAAGAGAAACAATTTTCTTTCTCATCTAAATCAGAAGAGGTGAACCATCAATTATTGGCTTAACCTTTTTCTTTCTCATTGTATAAACGATTGTTAATCATCATCCCGTCCGTCGTACATCAATATTAGTGTAATGAATGTGAACATTTTTTCGCCTGAAAGAATTAGTTACACAACAAAAGAATTTAGACATGCAACTATATTTTCGAGCTCTAATCACCACCAAACCCTGATTCAAGAAAGGTTTTACTTAAAGGTGACAAGATGAGCACAGATAGTCCTTTTCCAACTCAAGATAGGATAAGATGGACAAAAGCATGACGAATGGTGTAAATCTGTAGAAGAGAGCCTACAACCTTAACAAGCAAGTATTGTAACGAGGAAAAGTCGAGTGGAAAACATCATTCGAAAAAAGGTGTCAATTTGTATAAGCGCAAACAAAGTACATGTAACCTAATGATACATCAAAGAGGTGTAGAGAAAGCACATACAACCACAAATGCATGTCAGTAAGTTCTCATTCAACCTCATAGAAAGTTTCATAGATAATGAGATGATGTGTGATTAGTATGAGCAATATGCAATTAGCATGCGTATAGTATGTTGTAAATGTATGTAAACAAAATAATATATTTCTGTGAACGCTTCGTCAAAGGTTAGGGCAGATCATATGACCACAGGGTTGAGATCCTTTAACCTTGCAAATTTAATCAGGCATGATGTATGTACGAATTAGTTAGGTATGTGGCAAGCTTACAATCAAAGTAATATTAAGCCTACAGTTGAATGGTTATTTTGAAAGAAAAAACAAAAGAACTAAAGCCAAACATGTATAAGCACAATAATTGCAATCATATTAAAATTAAGCGGTTATAAACTTATAAATCTTTGTGTGATTTTTTTCTGTAAATTGTGAGAGATGATTATGATTTACTTTGTAAGTCCTTGAGAGATGTCTATTATTGTTGAGATAAATCGCTAGAAACATTGTAGTAGGCTTCTCTAGAGATTAATTGAAACTAAAATACTAAAAGGTTTGAGATTAAAGTTAAAACATTGAAAATCGTAGTGTAATATCCCTCTAGAGAAGAATCGTTTATCCTAGTTTCATAGATCTCTCTTCTCGAAGACCTTTGATTGAGCCACAAAGATGATTGTAAATTCTCCACCACTAGGATGGTGCTAAGGACACATATAGATGCTTCTAAATGAGATATCTTCGCATGTACATCCTAAGAAACTTCTTGGTTGGAGTCTTTGACCTCAGGGTAGGGGACATGTATTAATTCTTATATTTTTTTTCTAATTTTATGATATTTTATTATGAATTACTCTTACAAATTATGGGAGATGCCTACGTAAGTTATGGGAGACACCTCTAGGTGAGATGTTTCTTATGAGATGTTAGTTAATAAGATGAATTTTGTGACTCTTGATCCAGTGAAGAATCCAAAAATATTTTATAGATCGGGTTAATATAAATATACCAAAATTTTTATCTAAAATAATATATATATACTAGTATTTTTTAAAATTTAAAATATAATAACAATTATATATATGGATTAAATCTAGAAAAAATATTAAATGGATTAATATAATTTTCTAACATAATTCATACATGTTATTTATTTAGGGTAAATTAACTATTTGGTCATCCGTCTATTACTTAATTTATGTTTTAGCCACTCAACTATTATTTTTTCAAAATCGTAGCTAACCTTACATTTTGGTTCTATTTTGATCACTCACCATTAAAAAATTTAACGATGTTAACATGACATTTTTTAATTCTTTTTCAATCATGATATGGCGTTATCTCATGATGAAATATCAACATCAGTACTAAATTTTTAAAGATGAGTGATCAAAACAGAACCAAAACGTAAATTAAATATGATTTAAAATATATAATAGTTATATGACTAAAGTAGAAAGTAAATAATTAATGAGTGGCTCAATAAGTAATTTATTCTCTCTCTTTTTTTGGGTATAGGGGCTATGGCCTAGGTAGGCCTAAGGATCCACCCCTATCTCAGCCTAAATCAGAATAGATAAATGATAAATCATTATCTTAATATAAACTTTAATAGCTAAAATGATATTATGCCTACACTGGGTAAATTGGAGGAATATTATAGTTGAATTTTTTTTATTTTTTAAATATTGCATTGATGTTTTTATTTTTCAATCTGTGATATAATATATAGTGAACTCGAAGACGTAAAGAACGATTGGCGTCTTAACTGTTCATAAAAAGTAAATTAAATAAAAAAATTTAGGGACGCCATGAACACATGACGTCTTTATTGTTCATCTATTTAAAAAAAATTCCTGACGCCATGAAGACATGGCGTCTTCACTATTGAATATGTGAAGTCATGAAGACATGACGTATTCTTTATGGTTTTTCTAATTTTAAAAAAATTGTACGCATGAGTACATGGCATCCTTATTGTGGCTC